CTCCAAGACACTTGGTCGAGCAACATGAGCCGTGGAAAGCATATAATATACATTAATATATACTATGAAGAAATCAATATATATATTCTCGGGATTAGATAACGTTACCCCAAGCGTTCTTCTTTGCTGAGACGATATTTGCGTCTCCGCAAAGAAAGGCGATGGATTTGAACTATAATTCCGGATGACTCGGTTTTGGAAGCCACCCAATGGCATACAATCAGAAAATCTGATAGCATCCGTAAACAAATTGACATATATCTCAAGTCGCCCAGTAGTAGAACCCACCACACGTTGAAGCACAACGTATAGGCCGAAGAATGAACGAAAATCTTATAGTTCACTGTACTTAACGAAAGAAACAATAGAGTGATTTTGCACCAAGATTCCACACGAATTTTCCAATACAATTTCCCTGAAAATCCTTCGGGGAATATCATGTTGGGAAGGTGCTTTTGCTATAGGAAAAATTCAAATTCAAGCAGAACTGCCGCTGTGTGCGTTGTTGCGGCTCTTCTGGAGCACCTACCGGTAGGGCACGGCTCGCAATCTTTACGCATATAATATCGCATTTGTACTTCTTACCCAACGGATTAACTCAGTTACCACATCAGCTGTAACGTCAGTCTGTTTTTCACGTTAACTGTTAGTTAGTCGCAAATCAATCGATTGTTTAAGAAATGTCAGGTGATCGACTGTCGCATGGGTACAAATCGATAATGGACCAGTAACAATGACTTAGGAATACTGGTATGTATCCCAACGCTATGTAGTGGACACAAACAAGCCTGTTAAGGCCATTAAGCCCCTCGATTAATATCAGTCTGAAAATTCCCCCATATTCCTATCACACCATCACGAACCCTGTCGAGGGCGATTTGGCAGCCCACAATACTAACTTTATTCTTCATTTTTCATTTCGCCATGAAGTTCTCCCTCGTCAGTGCCATTGCCCTCTGCGCGGCGGCGGCCATCGCCCAAACCAACAACACCATCACGGACATCAACGGTCGCGCTCGAACGTTGCAGGAGGAACCTGACTTAGACGATGCCGAGATCAACCGCGAGTGTCACAAACAAAACGGCAACTACATCCCGTCCCTCAAAGCCGGACAGTACTCGACCAGTGCGTTCCACAACTGCTTCCGCACCATCGACCAAATCTACGAGTTCACCGATGCGTTGGTCGGGCAAAACCCGACGTTGCTGAGCAAATTTGCCATCTCCAAGACGTACAAGGGGGCCACGATTTACGGGTACAAGTTGACCAAGGGCCACTCGCAGTCGTTGTACTTTCAAGCCCAGCTGCACGCCCGCGAATGGATCGCAGGAGCGTCGATTCTGTTCTCGTTGGCGTCGATTCTGGATGACATTGACAACAAGAAACCCACGGCCGCCGACGAGTACGACTTGTACTTTGTGCCGATCGTCAACATTGACGGCTTCGAATTGACGTGGAACGGCACCCGGTTCCAGCGCAAGA